GCCCCAGCCTGTGCAGTCTCACAGTCCAGGAGCCCTCAGGGGATGTCCAACTGATGGCTTAGGCCTGTTCCCAGGTCTAAGCCATCAGTTGGACATCCTTTGTGCTGCTATGGAGGCAGGAGAGGCTCCCGCCACCGCCTCTGTACTCAGCCATGAGCCTAGCTTCTGGCTAAGCAGCACTCCCGCTGTGGGAGCACACTGACCACCAGGGGGCAGCTCCTGTGTTGAGTGTCTGCCCCCTGGTGATCAGTGCGTATCATAGCAACTGGTCGTTCCTCCCTTTGGTCAATTTCATATTAGCCTTTTATTATATAGGATTATTATTTAACCCATTGAATTCCATCTCAGAAATTGCCTTTAAGCATCCACTGTATTAATTTTTAAAATAAGAAATTACTCAACTGTCGCTAATTAGTAACTAAGGTCCAGGAGCACCTATGAGCCTGACACTGTTCGGGCCAGTTCTATGTGAGAGGTGTGACATCTGGGGCACAGGTGGAGAATGACCACGGAACCACGGCAACAGATTCACGCTGGGAATGCAGCCACTGAGAGGAATGTCTCATTTTGAGCCAATTAGTAAAATTTAATCCAGTAACTGACATCATCAACAGAACCTGAATGTGGCATCCATAACATCAGCACTGAAGGCTAAAAGAGCAATTGATCTTTACCAAAAAGTGTATTATGTGCCCAGTTTTATGCATCAGTTTCCTTTTCTATCATCAAAACATCAAGCCCAGATGTAACATCTAAAGACAACTGGACTTACAGTGTTTTTTTCAGCCCACACAGCAAAGATAATATTAATGGGGCATATTTGATGAAGGACATGTCACAGTTGAGCAGCCCAAGCTAGGTCTGGGTAAACTTGAAAACACTGGTAATCTTTTCAAGCCTCATTTTCCAACTCTGTACATGGGGCTAATAATTGTACAAACCTGTTAAGGTGGGGTTGGGATTAATGCAGTGATGGGTGTAGGTGCTCAGGACTTGGCTGGCTCAGCTACGTGTTCAGGCAATGGTGGCTATTACCACTTTACCAAAGCAACATAGGGACTGGAAGTTACCTTTTCTCCTTTATAGAGACAAGAATCAGGTGGCTGCACCAGTCGGGTTGGTCCAGGAGAACCTTGCTGGCCAACCTCCCCCTTGAAAAAAAAAATCAAGAA